TATTCACTTTCTTGAAAATTCTAAACATTAGTGAATGAATCGAATGAATGAAATTCATTATTCTATTAACAGTTTCAGTTTTTATTTCATTTCATTTATCATTTTTCCTATTACACAAATAATTGTTTCTTTTTGGTCAAAACACAAATAATTGTTTCTATTTAGCATATTCCTTTTAGGTAACCAGTTAGAACCATTGTAAATTGTATATAACATTGGTATATATTTAGATAAGTATTTGCTAATTCACAATTATATTAAGAAAAGTAAAAAACAAATTTAGCAATTGGTCTACGGACTACGTCCATCGGTTCAACTTGGTTATCCAACAATACAAAAATAATCTTGTTCATTTCTCAATCTAGTTCTTTGGCAAAAAAATTTTCCCAAACTAGTTTTGAAACTGATTCAAATTATTTGCTGCCATTAATTGTAAACTTGCTCGTTTTTAAAAAAAAATTGAACGGAGCATTAGGGTTCGTTAGAACCACTAAAGAAAAATAAATAGAAAGTAGGATTAGGACATATTGGTCGGAGAAGTCTGGCCATGTAGTGTACTGAATTAAAGAAATGTCTCTTCCTAGGACAAAAAGATTAAATGAGAAGGGCGATATCTCGTGAATATCTTCGTCTGTTTCTTCCGTTGACTTAATTTATTATCACCAGAATAATTACGCTCTCTTTATGTTTGTATGTATGAAATTTAAATCTTTCTATAATAATTTCATGTTTTTTTTTGTTCTATTATTCTCTGTTTATCATCGTCACTTCTCTAGTACATCCATGATCCATCTTCTGTTCTGTCATATTTATATCTGTGTGTGTAAATTTGTCTCTTTTCTTTTTAACAACCCGTGTGTGTAAATTTTTCTATACACGTGTTTTATGGAAGTTTTTTTTAATAGAAAGTCAACGAGTTCTAAACGACAACTGCAGTTTTGTTTGTGTTAATCTGTGTATGTATAGCTTATATATGGATTTATGTATTTTTGTGTTATTGAAATCTATCACGGATTTTTTTTTTTTTTGTATCTTCTTCTGAAGGTCAATGAGTGTTGGAATTGATTGAAACAAATGAAAAATGAATAGTCAAGCTGGAATCTTATCTTGATTTTCAGTTTAAAAAGTATTATTTTGATTTTATTGTATTTATCTTTACTATGTAACATAATTATTAATGTTTTTTGGCCTAAAGGCTTACATGATTATAAGTGTTAAAAGGATTAGTTAACATATGATCCAAAGTTATCCTTTATAGAAGAAATACTTAATATTATTGAGTTAACCAATTCTTGATTTATAGTGTGATTCATTTACTCTCATAACAAAGTAAGGTGATGATTGTTTACAATAGTTTTTGGTTTTAGTTTTTGGTTTTTAGATCTCGTTTTAGATTTTGGTTTTTGATTTTTAGATTTTAGGTTTTTGTTTTCGGCTTTCAGCTTTTGGTTTTAGTTTTTAGTTTTTAGATTTGGTTTTTGGTTTTTCTGTATTTTAAGTTTTTTAAACAATAATCAATACCTTTTTTGAAATAATAATAAAATAATGAAATATATATAAGTTATCACTAAAATAAAATACATTAACAAGTTTTGAATTATTTTATTTTTAAATATTATATTAAAATATAAACAATAAAATTTCTATAAATTATAAAAATTAAAATATATTTAAAAAATTTAAACTATTTATAAAATTTCTTATATGTTTTTCTATATTTTAAAACCCGAAGAGCTATTTTCAAATTAACATTATATATTTTATGAATAAAATAATTATTTTTTTACAATTTTTAATTATTTTAGTGTGTATAATAATTATTAAAATTAGTCAACGAATTTTATAGAAATTAATAACTTATTTTTATAGAAATTAATAACTAATTGTTTACAATTAATTAATGTTATATAAAAATATCCAATTTACTGACATATATGAAACACAAAATATGGATAATTTATCTTTATGAAAATATTATTTATTTAACTAAAATATAGATTTTTTACAAAAAGAATAAAATTTGTTTTTGTATTTAAAAACCCACAAAAGTTGGTTTTTGGCTTTTATTCACAAATTGGTTAAAATTTTGAAAAACTAGTTTCCCTAAATTTTAGGGAATCTATTTGTTTAAAAACTTGATTGGCAAAAAAAATGGTTTTTACAAAAGCAAAAACCAAAAACAAAAACTTAATTGGAAGAAAAATGGTTTTTGGAAAAATAAAAACCAAAAACTAAAACAAAAACCACAAACAATCAACCTCTAAAATAACATTTTTAACCCGAAAGTTCCAAAAAATAGTAAAAATTTAACTGAATCTTTTATTCGTGTATTTACATGAATTTTTTTTTTAAATATATTTACATATGCCGGCGAATATGTTGGGATTGTCAAGAAACAGCTTGTTCGTGGGCCTCTTTTGCAGCAACCCATCGTGTTACACACTATACAAGGAACTTATAATGACTACTAAGTTCAACTTAGCAAGTTCCATGACGAACTAAAGACATGCGACGGCTTTGATTAGTCTTTCAACAAATTTGTTCTCAAACAAGAAAATCCTTTAGATATCTCAAGTTACCCAACTGAAGAAAAACCAGTGCAACCTTGCTTCCTGCATCATTCTCTCAACCTTCTTATGCATTAATTTGATCTACAAAACAAATGTATCACAAGACCACATGAAAAGCCAAAAGCGAGTCACAGACTCACAGAACCATAGAAAAAAACACTTCCTTTATGGATCTTACCTCAGAAACCAATGCCTTTCCTGTCAAGAATCAGTGACCAAAATCAAGAACAAGATATGAGCATAACGTGCATATAACATCCATATCATACGTGCAGCTGTGCTGCTTGTTGTTGATAAGCATCAGATGTTACACAGCCACTGCCTTAACCTCTACACCCATACCGCTCCATGTCCTGTTTGTTGTTGACATGTCTAGTCTCCCTTGTGAGTAGGGAGACCAGACATTAGAGCATCAAACACAACCAGTACCTTAACCTCCACACCAATAACTTCACATCAAACTTCCGCATACCTAAATGAGCCATTGATGGATGAAACCAATTGTAGATTCATATTTGGAAGGTTGTACCTTTAACCATACTGAAAGATACAAGTTCATCAACTAACTTTTGGCAAGCAATGTCAAATCTACCCTTCATAAAATTTTAGCCCACATACATTATAATCATCAACAAGCAAAACCGGAACAGCATCGTTCAACAGACCTTGATTCGTGCTGTAAAACCCCTTTCAGAATAAACACAAACATTCTTTAAACTTTTAAACCTCAGAAACCAAGTAGAATGAGAAACTTATAAACAGTGTAATTACTAGTAAAGTGTATTCTGCTTTCTTTTTGGTAACTAGTTTCTAGCTTAGCCGTGCCAGATCCTCTGTTCTGGATATAACATAACATTCCATGGCTTAGAGATATGTTTAGTGAACATAATTTAGTAGATGTAGATCACATTAGTACATGTGTTCCATAACTTGAGGTGGAGGAGGAGGAGCCATTAGTTCTCAAAGACGATACCTTTCTATATAAATGTGAAAGTAGGCGTTGGAGGAGGAGTCACCACTATCCTCCGGCGGTTTTCCATCTAAGGACTAGTGGATAAAATCGTTGCAGGAATTTGAAAAAGTCTATATAACAAGAACTAGTGGATAATCTCTACTTTAATATAAGAGAAATTGGGTGCAGTAACTATGAAAAAAACCAAAATTTACAAAGTAGCTAGAATTCCATCCTTTGTCCCTCTCTCCTCTTTCTTGTTCCTATCTCTCTCTAACTTCTTTCTAAAAAACTAATTTTGATTTTTTTTCTTGGTTATATGGCAAATAAACCCCTAATATAATACCATGCCGACAATAAGTCTCTTGGGGTGGTGGCAAAAAAACAAATCAACCAAATCAATCCAACCGAACTCAAACCGATCCAAACCGAATCAAAATATATGGTTAAATCATTTGGTTCAAACTTTTATCAACCCAAATAGTTTGGTTTAATTTGGTTTTAAACCGAACCAAACTGAAAACTGAAATGTGTTTTAATTAGATTAATTAAATATAGTAATAATGTTAAATTAAAAATATTTAACAATTTAACCTAAATAAATAAGAATTTTATACAATTTACTTATAAATAAATAAAATAAAGAAAAATATAAAAAATATGAATCTATACAATATCATGAAAACCGAATACTTTTACGATTTTATGTTAAGTTTAAAAATAATAATATAAAATTATTGGATTACATCTTTTAAATACTTATGGTGATGTTTGATTTTATATTTAAGTATGGAGAAAAAAATGATTTAGTGTCAAATGATGATTTGATAATGTTTTTATAAATTATATTTTTGTAATTGAACTAGAACAAATCTAAAAAATCAACTCGACTGAATTGAAAAATATAAATAAAACCATATTAAACCAAATCAAACACATGATCAAACCAAACTAAAACTAAACCGAATACAAACCAAATTAAACTACAACCAAATGAAACCGAACATAAACCAAATCAAACTAATATGGGTTAACTATGATCAAAGTTTTTTTAGACCCAAATAACCCAAACCAAACCGAATTCAAACCGTACTTGTACTTAAACCAAAATGCCCACCCCTCTGTCTCTCTCTTAGGGATGGGTGTAAGGGTACCCTTTCGGGTTTGGATCGACTATTTTGAGTGTTCGGATATTTCGGTAATGGGGTCTAGTATTCGTTCGGATATTTTTATACATTGGATCGGGTTCAGATATCAGATTGGGTTGTTTCAGGTTCGGTTTGGTTAATATCCATTTGGATAGTTTGTTACTTCGGTTCGGATATTTCAGATCTGATTCGGAGGATATGAGTTCGGGTGTGGGGTAAAATGCAATCCCTACTTTCTCTAGTAATAAAAAGGAATCTTTTTAACTGAAAAAGTGTTTATTTCCTATCTTGAAAGAAATACCAAAACACCCAATTTAAATCAGAAAATAAAAATTAATACCGAAGCATCACCATTCACCCACTTACATTCGAGCATTTTACAGGGAAAGATCTGTGAGCTCATACGTTATCATCAATGGCCAAGGAGACAGTGTGTGTAACCGGAGCCAACGGTTTCATCGGATCCTGGATAATCCGAACATTACTTGAAACTGGATACACCAAAATCCACGCTTCTATCTACCCAGGATCCGACCCGACTCATCTCCTCGAACTACCAAGATCCGACGAGAGAAACACCGAGATCAAGATCTTCGAAGCCGATCTCCTAGACTCCGACGCCATTGCCAGAGCCGTAGACGGATGCTCAGGAGTGTTCCACGTGGCGTCACCCTGTACGTTGGATCCACCCGAGAATCCAGAGAAGGAGCTGGTCGAACCGGCGGTTAAGGGAACGATCAATGTGTTGTTAGCAGCTAATAGGTCCAATGTGAGGCGCGTGGTGATCACTTCCTCTATCTCGGCTTTGGTTCCGAATCCTAATTGGCCGGAAGGGAAACCCGTCGATGAGTCGTCGTGGACCGATCTCGATTTTTGCAAGTCCATGCAGGTTTATTAATTTCCATTTTTTAAATTTAATTATATGTTAATTTTATAATTTCGATTTTATTCATAATTTTAATGAAATCTTTTCATTATATATTATTAGATAAGGCTCGTGCGTTGCAACGAGTTTTATTAGATGTTTTAAAAAACATAAATAATAAATAATTTTATTATAAATTTAAGATGTTTTTTTGCATAAATTGGGTGAGATTTATTTTATAGTTACAAACTCATTAATATAATTAGAATTGGAAAAAATATCTTTCTAATAATAAAATTAGAATAATTATTCAGAGGACATTTGGTGTCTTATTACAAACATCTATTTTCTCCTTATTATTTATATATATAATTACATCTGTAACAAAATTGTGTTATATAATAATGTTATTTTAAACAAAATTCATTACAAATATCCAATCAATTGATAGAAATATACAATGTTCAACAACCAAATTGATACAAAAAACTGATATAAAATTGTGTTTAATTTAATTTAATTAGCATTAAAGTGATTTTCCTTTTTAATTGGGTTTAATTTTTTATGAAGACAAATACGATTTAATCTTATTTAAAAGGATAATTACTATTTAAAGAAGGATAATTATTATTTTCTTACAGTTATCTTTTCTTGGTTTTTTACAATTACATTATTTTTAAACAATAATTACTATTTTTTTAAAAGGACAATAACTATTTTATTTTTTACAATTATCTTTTTGTTATTATTTGAAAGAAGGAAAATTAGTGTTACATTTATATAAAAGGATAATTACTATTTTCTAAGAAAAATAGCTTTTCCTTTTGAAGGAATTTTACAATTGTGATTTAGTTTTTTTTTTAAAAAGGATAATTACTATCTTTAAAAAAAAAGATAATTACTATTTTTTAATTATTAACTTATTTGTATTTTAACACATGTCGTAATCTTAAATGTATAATCGCCATGTGTCGCAATCGTGTTAATTAGTAACTTTGAACAACCAAACTTTATATAATAAGATTTGGTTTATAATTAACATAAATTTCCTGGAATCTTATATTTTATATTTATTGGTTTATAATTTGATCATCTCATAATTTTTATGAGTATGTCTAAAAATGTCAAAATCATTATTTTTATGAAATATTTTATTTATATATTATTGGTTTATAATTTAGATCTTGATTTAATTATGTGTTTATTGATTTATATTTCGATTTTTAAACATATTTTTATGATTTTTAATTATATATTTCTTTTGGTTCATAATTTCGAAATTGAACATAATTTTATGACTCTTTTCTTTTATTCTATTGGTTGATAATTTTGATTTTTAAACAGAAGTTTTTATGGAATCTCTTAATTATATATTTATTGGTTTATATTTTAGAAATGGTATCCAATTTCGAAGACACTAGCTGAGAAAGCGGCTTGGGAATTTTCGGAGAAGCATGGAACCAACATCGTCACAATCCATCCATCCACATGCCTCGGACCACTTCTGCAACCCAGCCTTAACGCAAGCTGCGCCGTTCTGCTCCAGCTCTTACAAGGCTCGACCGAGACACAAGAGCATCACTGGCTCGGTGTGGTGCACGTGAGAGATGTGGCGAAAGCTCACGTGATGCTGTTCGAAACACCTGAAGCTTCTGGTCGGTTTCTATGCAGTAACGGGATCTATCAGTTCAGTGAGTTCGCTGCTCTTGTGTCCAAACTCTTCCCTGAGTTTAATGTTCACGGGTTTGATAAAGAAACTCAACCTGGGCTTACGTCGTGTAAAGATGCGGCTAAGAGATTGATTGAGATGGGGTTGGTTTTTACTGCGGTCGAAGATGCGGTTAAGGAGACTGTGGAGAGTCTTAGAGACAAAAGCTTCCTCTGAACGAATAAAATATCTTCTGAGAGTTCCAAACTCTCTGAGTTTTATTGTATAAAACAAGTATAGGAACTAAAAAGTAAACTGGTGGTTTCATATGATGCATATATGTATGAGTACAATGTAATATTATCATTGTTGTTGTTTGTTGTTTGTTGTCTGTGAGGTTTTACCATGCTCAGGGTAGCTTACTACGATTACAGAATCAGCTGGACGAAGCAGGAGCATCTGGCTGGCTGGTTCTCTGTGATTGCGTTCTGAAACGCAGGAAGATCGTTATATGACTCGTACATTTTGCAAGAGTCCGGTACGGTTCCTGTCGACATCCAAATGAAAAACATGATCTATCATATTGCACAAGTACAAACCAAGTGATCCGAAGCGAGGATATCGTCTATGTATTTACAATAGGAATTATGTGCGCATGGCGTCCCTGATGTGTAAGACCCTAAGTAAATGTTTATAAATTTTTTTCTTTTTGCAAATTTGGAGACCTTTTTCTTTGTAGTGTTTTTAAAAAAAAAAAAAATTGGGGGATCTAGGCCAATGTTTCACTTTGCTGTGCTCAGCACCACCCCTGTATGCGCGAATGTGAGCCAAATATAACATGTTCATGCAAAACAATGCTTCATGAGTTTAAATTTTTCTATTTACTGGTTGTAATAAAAGGTAGTTAGGATGCTAAAGAGTCAATGGATGGGAGTTGCTTATCGAACATACCACTAATATTTTGAAAACTCATGTAAAAATATAAATATTTTAAAATAACTAAAGTATTGCAATTTGTTAATATTTTTTTTCATTTATGAAAGTTTTATCTCACTTAAAATTTATATGTACATTACATTAATGATGAGCCTTCTTGGTTGCTGCTAGGCCTGTTCAATCTGGTGTTCGGTCCGGTTTTGATTCGGTTTTTTTTTCGGTTTTCGGTTATTCGGTTTATAAAAATTAGCTACCATATTGGAACCATATTTAATTTGGTTTGGTTCGGTATTTATACTACCGGTTTTCGGTTTATTCGGTTTTATACCAAAAAATATTATTATTTGATTTGGTTTCATATTATATGAATTTTTTAAAAAAAAAACATATTGTCAAAACTATCATTTATTAAAATAATCCTAGGTGTTCATAAATATAAAAATGTGAAATTAACAACAAACAAAACGATCAACGATTCAGTTTTGTATTATTTTCTCTTTGTTCTTCCAAATAAATTACATGGTACAATCTAATTTCACAATTTCTTACAACATGTAAAATCAAATCAAATTTAGATAATAGTTGAAGAAATAAAATAAATTATTAAGATATATCTTCACAAGGTATAAAAAATAAAAATAAAAAGATTATTCCAAGAAAATAAATGGTTATATAATGTATATAATTATATATATTTTTTCTTTGATCGGTTTTGTTCGGTTTATTCGGTTTAATCGGTTATAAACCTAACCATATCCAAATCCTACGGTTTTTATAAAATCATATCCATTCGGTTTATATGGTATATACCAAATCCAAACCATATTGTTTATTTCGGTTCGGTTCGGTACGGTTCGGTTCGGTACGGTTCGGTATCACCATATTGAACAGCCCTAGTTGCTGCTTATCAACAAGGTGGGCCCTAAAATTTAGGGAATCATAGAAGATATATTAGACATTTCAACTAATTTTTTTTTTTCAAATTCTTGGACCTAAAAATATATTTAGGAACCTATGTCTATGTAGTTTTTATCAAAAAATTTAGAGACTATTACAAATGTTTCATTAAACATGGCTCAAAACTGATCTATTTGTCAATGTAAAGAATCCAGTACAACCTATTATTTTTGCATTGGATGTAACGTAGCTTACTACAAAAAAATGATGTGAATCTCACACTCTAAAAAAATCTCCTTATCACCCTAAACACAATGTACAACTTCTCATGTATTGTGGGTTAAATACTTTACTTAACCTCAATCGCAAGATAATTTCTTGTTCCTACTGTGATTCAAGATGTGTATGTAGTGGTGCAACGTTCTTTTACTACTGTTTTATTTGTGAGTTTAGATTGGGTCCCGTTTGCGCGAGAATACCCTCATTCCTGAATTATCTAAAGAGGCATGAACATACTCTCTACCACTTTCCCAAAAAAAACTGATTTGATATGTGACCTATGTGGGATAGTTGACAGCATATCTCCATCTACGTGTGTTTTCAATGTGATTTCGTTGTCTATAAAAATTGTATTTATTTACCATTTGTCATAAAAATATACAGTCATGAACACCATCTCTCTTTTACATATTCTCTTCCTAAAGTATTTTCTTGTGGAGTTTAATTTCCCATCAAAAGATTGACGAAAATTATGGAAAATATTTGTGCACGAAAGATTGCACTTATGTAGCGCATTCCAAATATGAAACTCTTGGAGGGATGTGAGGGATGGAAAAAAATTCTAGGAAGAACCAGAAGAAGAATGTGAAAATCTATATTCTTTTGAAGTGATAGGTAATGGGATACACCATTTCAGTCATTCACATCACATTAGGTTCGTAAAGAAGACCACTGTCATATTGTAAGATGAAAATAAACGATGTCAAGCATGCGTACTTCCATTTAATGGTGCTGATGTTTACAACTGTATGGACTCCAAGTGTGATTTTGTACTTCATGAAGCATGTGCAAATCTTCCTTGGACAAAACAGCATATGACATATCCTTATCCATACAATGAGTGACATCAAGACTTGTTTCTTTTGTGCGTATTGCAAGCGTTCTTCATGTGGTTTCAGATGAGTGTGTTGCAAAAAGGGTAAGTCTATAAGTATAGAAGTGTGATGTGCTGCAATATCTGAGCCATTCAACCAACAATCTCACCCACACCCTTTGTTTCTAAGCAATGAACTTGGACGATATAGACCAGGTTCACTATGCAGAAAATAGAGTATTTGAACCTTAAACTGTATGAAGTGTGATTTATGCTTGTGCTTCAATTGTGTTACACTCCCATACAAAGTGAATGAGCATAATGAACATTTCTAACCCTTTCTTAGAGAAAGAAAGTGATGCAGCGCATCCTACGCTTATTACGAGTCGGTTTCATCTTTAAACCGACATGGTTTTCTTTTATTTTCTTAGTTGGTTTTTATGTTCTCTTTCTTTGTGGGATTTGGTTTTACTTAGAAAAATCCTTATCTATTAAAGAGCAGGGTTTTCATTGGCCCTATATAGTTTCCATCGTTACTTGTGAAGAGATGTTGAATGGTTCATTGAGCGAAGTCAAGCTTGTCAACTAGAAAAGGGTCAGGCGTCTAACGCGGGCTTGTATCTACCACTGCCGATTCCTACTCAACCATGGACGGATTTGAGCATGGATTTTGTTTTAGGCATGCCACGAACTCAGAAAGGTAACGACTCTATCTTTGTGGTGGTTGACCGCTTCTCTAAGATGGTACATTTTGTGCCATGCAAGCGTACTACAGATGTTGTAAAGGTAGCTCAGTTGTTTTTTAGCGAGATTTATCGGCTGCATGGTCTTCCCACTTCTATTTTGTCAGATCGTGACACTCGCTTTTTGAGCCATTTTTATAGATCATTGTGGAAGATGCTTCGTACAAGTTTGGATATGAGTACGGCGTATCATCCTCAATCTGATGGTTAGATAGAGGTGTCAAAAGGGCTTTGGGTAATATGTTGAGATTGCTGGTTGGTGATAATATTAGATCGTGGGAGTCTCATTTGTGTCAGGCAGAGTTTGCTCACAATCATGCTACAAACCGGAGAACTGGATTTAGCCCTTTCCAAATTGTGTTTGGTTGTGTTCCTCGGTGTCCGTTGGATCTAGCTCTTTTACCAGATCCTACGCGGCTTCATGGAGGTGCTTCTGTGTTTGTGTCTTCTCTTCAGGAAATGCATAAACAAGTGTTACACAATTTGGAAGCTGCATCTCACACCTACAAGGAACGTGCTGATCGATGTTGCAAGGAACTCATCTTTGAGCCATGCGATATGGTTTGGGTGGTGATGACTAAGGATCGCTTGCCATTGCATGAATACAACAAGCTTCGGTCACGTAAGATTGGTCCAGTACAGGTGCTGGAAAGAATCAATGATAATGCATACTGTCTACAGTTGCCGGCTCATATCAAAACTGCAAACGTTTTTAATGTTAATTAAGTACTTGTCACGTTTTCAAGGGGGCAATGAGGATCCAGATTCTGAGCCAAATCTTTTCCTACCTGGGGAAACCTGATGCAGTGCATCCTACGCCTATTACAAGACGATTTCATCTTTAAACTGATATAGTTTTCTTTTATTAGTTTAGTTGGTTTTTATTTTCTCTTTATTTATGGGATTTGGTTTACTTAGAGTAATCCTTATCTATTAAGGAGTAGGGTTTTCATTGGCTTTATATAGTTTACATAGTTGCTTGTAAACATCATCTTTTGTTGAATTAATCAGAGCTTTTCAAGTTCATATCTCTTTTGTTATCGATGTTCGAAGAGAATCAACGAGAGCAAGAACAAAAACGACGTTTGGGTATTCTTCGACTAAACAAACATCCTTTTGAAACCTTACGCTGCGCCGGAAAGTCTCAATTGGTGTGAGGTTTGTGAGGAAACTTTAGATTTATACAAATGACTTTATACATGTAATGAATGTGGGACCGCATTCCATATTTTGCATGTTTGTTAGGTAAATATGCACTTAGTCTGAAGCCTGCTCAAAATCTCTCGTTCGATGGTCAAAAGTTCAATATAATTCTGAACAATGATCTCACTCGGCCCATCTTCTAAGAATGTGGAAGGCGTTGCCAAGATAAACTAATGATCCATCCAAGTGTTTCATTAAGGTGAAGAAAAGAAAATTTGTTCTCATCATTAGGAAGTGGAGACTTAAGGTCAGGAATTTGGGTGCTGGTTGAGGAAAAAAACGACAACCAAGTTTTCATGTTCTGGTTAGTATTCAAGGATTCATGGTTAGAGAAAAAAAAAAGAAAAAAAAGCAAAAATTTCTATTGGACTGAGAATTTTAAACGATTAAAGATTTCTCTTATTAACCTTTTTAGTTTTTATTTGAATTGTCTTTTGTATGTAAATAGTTTATACATTACAGTTTTCTTTGAATTGTTATCTCAAAAAAATTGTAGGATCAAGAGCATAAGAAGAAGAAGAAGAGAATATTGATGGTCTTAATAATTATACTCGTACAAACTGAGAAATCCAAGTTTAAAAGAGAAGAGTACTATCGCATTTTTAGATTGGACTACCTCTGAGCAATCTAAACGTGCATGTTACAAAGTTTTTCTTGTTTCACAGAATCATATGCTAGGAGCTGGAGCGTCTGGCTGCTTGGCTGGGACTGCATCGTCAAACACAGACAGTTCCTTGTATGACTCATAACACTTTGCAAGAGTCGGGTACGGCTCCTGTAGAAAAAAAAAATCAATAATTAGAAGCATGTTATTACAAAATCTATATTATAATAGTAGATTTTCTAGGCTCCACAGCGCACCACGTCAGCAGTTTTGTGGGTTCTGTAAGTATTTTTTTAAAAAACATAGTCTTGGTAAGATGATTACAAATAATGAAATACATTTTAGCCGATTGGTATAAGGTGTCTAATTAAGCTTGCAAGATCGTGGGTTCAAACCACGCAGTTATCATCTATTTTTGATTTGGGTTATTATCATATGGGCTATTTGTTTATAGGGTTTTTATGTTTTTTTTTTTTTTGCTATTTTTTTAAAGATCAAATAGTTGGATAAACCCTAAAGCTTAACAAGTTCAAACCAAAAAATAGTTAAAAATGGATCCAAAATCGAACAATAAAAAAAAACAAAAAAAAGCAAGTCTCACGCAGTTGCCTACGCGGATGGTTTAAAGAGCCTTAAAACTGTCCTATTATAATATAGCCCAACCCAAAATAGTAAAAAATGGATCCAAAAACGAACAGACCAAAAAAAAAAAAAAAAAAAGAGTCCCACGCGGCTGTCTACGTGGATGTCTTAATGATGCTTGAATAATATAGATTAAGATCTCAAAAAGTTAAATCATTGTTCATATTTCTTAATATATATTTTCAAAAAATTTGTATGTTAGATAAAATAAAAAAACAACAAAATTTTATGATTTTTCGTTATTTATTATATGTATATGTAATTTCTCTTACATTTTAATAACTACTACAATTTCATTGAAAACATTTCTTACCACTCGATTCCAGACTCCGACGAATAAATTCGCACAGTCGATACGCCGTAGATAAAAATGCCACATCATTTATGAACAAAACTCAAACTTACAAAAAACCATATATAAAAATCTATCTAATGAAACTTCAACAACAAAAATTAACTTAATTAAGGTTATTTTCAAATTGATAAATCGTTTAATAAAAATATAAATACTATAAATATAGAATTATATCAAGTTTTGACCTACAATATAAAAATTATTTACAGCAAAAAAAACACCTACTTTTACACACTAAAAACTATATCATAGCCTAACTAATCCTATAAACCTTACTTTTCATATAAATAGCATTTAACACATTCCTAATATATTTTCAAAAAAAATTGTATGTGATATAAAATAAAATAAACAACAAAAATTAAGTATTTTTCGTTATTTATTTAATTAATATGTAATTTCTCTTACATTTTAATAACTACTATAATTTCATTGAAGACACTCCTCACCACCGACTCCAGACTTCGGCGAATGGATTCCCAGAGTCGATGACGCCGTAGATAAAAATGCCACATCATTTATGAACAAAACCCAAACTTACAAAAAAAACATATACAAAAACCTATCTAATGAAACTTAAACAACGAATATCAACTTAATTAAGGTTATTTTCAAATTGATAAATCGTTTGATACAAATATAAATACTAGAAATATAGAATTATATCAAGTTTTGACCTACGATATAAAAACTATTTACAGCAATAAAAAAGAAATAGACACCTACTTTTACACACTAAAAACTATATTATATGCTAACTATTCCTATAAACCTTACTTCGCATATAAATAACATTTAACACAATATATATACAATATTTTCACTTTACGTTTTTACTACATTCTTTCTACAGTGAAACCTCTATAAATTAATAATGTTGGGACTACACCAAAACTAAATTTTTTATTAATTTATAGAGATTATTAATTTATCGAGATATTAATTGAACCAAAAATTTAATTTGGAACTATGAAATTATATTAATTTATAGAGATATTAATTTATAGATTATTAATTTAAAGAGGTTAGACTGTATTTCATTATTATTTGGTGTCATTAGAAGAATCTAATAAACCAACAATAAAATAAAAAAACATGCAAACACAATGATCTCAGCTCCGCGCTTGCGCGGGGAGTATGCAAGTAGTGTTAAAAGTAAGAAACCATGGTTGTGACAAGCATTGAAGAAAGATTTATTTTCTTACCACATCAATCTTGAATTTAATCATAGCTCCATGGATTTGGCCTACTAGAAAAAGATCAGCCTGCAAAAAGTCAACGCTTCAATAGTTTTTAAACCTATCAATATGCCATATCTTGGAAAAAGAGAGTTAGCATAGATGAGTTAGAGAAACATACCAAGTAAATCTCATCACCAGTTGCATATTTCCCACCGCAATTCACCAACAGTTTCTCCAAAGCTGAGAGACATATATATTAGTGTAATAGTACTACTATTAACTAGGAGAAAATATTGAACCAAAGTCTCAACTAATAACATTTTTCACACAGTTCTTGATTATATTAAAAAAACCTCATACCTGTATATCCTTTTCTGATAGCATTATTAATCCAAGCGATTTTCTCTTCACCATTTGTCTTTTCCTCGATGTACCTCTATGTGTACAACAACAAAGAAACAAAAACGTAGCTTGTCATGTTTTATCTTTAAACCAAACAATGATAAGAGTTTAAGAAGTTATAGTCAGTTTCATGTCCTTACAATAACAGCCAGATTCTGATGTGGCTGTATACCAGAGGAGACAATACTCGCAACCTGAAAATAATAATTAAAAAAGAAGAATCATTATTTTGGTTGTATGCATACAGTTTGTATTGGTTCTTGGACCACAAGAGACCTGGTAATTTAAAGCTCGTTTGTGGAGGTCACGAGGTAACAAAGGTGGCTCAGGATACTTCTCATCTAGATACTGTCAACCAAGAAGACCACAAAACCAATGTTTGATGAAACCTTTCCCGTTGATAAATTCATATAAATGACTGTTTTAAAACTACTTACCATAATTATGGCAAAAGAATCAGTAATCACAACCTCTCCGTCAACAAGCGCAGGCACAGTACCCATTGGATTGATCTTAATGAAATCTTGAGGATCAAATAAATTATTTTACGCATTGAAATATTTTTTAGGTTTCTTTTTCCATACTATAATAATTTAAATGTATAACGTAAAAATCATATAGACTAATGAATCTACAGCTACAGATCTAAATTATTGTACCCTTTAAGACTTCATTTGTCATACAGAGATTTAATATTCATATTCACACAAACAAAACATTCACGAAGCACAGTCTCCAGCCTAATACAATCTGAGAATAAATCAAACAAATTTTGCTTTCAAAATAATCAAATAAAAATAAAATCAAACAAAAATGGAATCTACCAACCTGGATCAAACTGCTCTCCCTTGAGCAAGTTCACTGGTATATACTCATATTCAATCCCTATAATAAAAAGAAAAAACATATATCAACCAATAGTAAATCGAACAAAACCACCTAATCACCAAAAGCAATAAAAAGAAAATGTCGTGAGACCTTTTAAACTGAGGGCTAACCGCACTCGATGGCCACATGAGCTTCTCCAGTAAGAGTAGAGCTTCAGCTTCTCCTTCATTTCTTCGCCGGTATATGCCTGAAAATATAAAAGTCAACGGTCTGAAAAAAATGGAATAAATTGAATGAAATGTTGATCACTAAAGCAAAGAAGAAATAATTTACCATTCAGGAAATGATTCTTTTTTCTTTTTCTTCTTCACACAGATTCTAACACTTTGGTTATCAGATCTTGGAAATGGAAGTGGCTACTTGGAAACGAATCGGGGTGGCGCTAGTTGACATTTAAAAAACTTACTATTTTTGACTTTTTGTATCAAAGCAAACCTAACATTTTCCATAAAACGATGTCGTTGTATGCCAAAACCAGCATTTTGGCCTAAACTTTTTTTCCAAAAACTTTCCATATACAATAAAATTTCATTAAAAAACATCTGAATCATAATACTTTATTATTCTATCACAAATTAAGTAGATTGCATCAAATTTTAAATATCTATAATAAATTAACATATGAAACATAAAAATCCTGACGTATATTATAATTGAGAAAAAATAAACAAAAACTAATTGTTTTATTTATTTTATTTTATTTCAATAACTAGAATCAGCAACACTATTGTTTAAAGTCAAACCTCTGACGGTTTGACTAGTCTTCCTGGTTTACTACTAAAATCAGACATATTAGGATATTCCTTTTTTGGTTATTTACTTCTTACAGACAACATTCAGTAAGCTTTTATACAAATCTAGTATTACAACTTCCTTGAGAGTTTTCAATTAAGGCAATGCTTGAGAAGAACCCAAACGCCGATGACTATCTATACTTGTTGAACAACGTTCTCCATCTCAAACCTCACCTCTTTCCTTACCTCAACTTCTCCACTATCATCACCTTCTGCGTTTTGCAGCTCCCTCAAAGCTCTTCTCGCGTACAGAGTGAATGCTACAGTAGTCACAACCGCAATGATCAAGGAAATTACGTTGTACACAATCTCTACCGTTGTCAGACGTTGATGTCCGTATTGCACATCCGCAAATGTTCTGATCAACCGACCACTGCATATGAATTTACAGGTTAATGTTACCAATTTTTATAATTAAAACTGTCTTAGTCCTTAGAGAAGTAAGTAACCTGTAAATGTAGATGAAAGCTTCAGGTATCATTCCTGCTATGGAACCAAACAGGTAAGGCCAGAATCTCATGCTTGTCACAACAATAGCGTAGTTGAAAATCGTGTAAGGAAACGGCGAGATTCTAAAGATAGCCACGACTCTGAACTGATGGAACCAGCTTCCTTCTGCAGCTAGTCTAAGAACCGCTGCTTGACGAGGCCATCTTTTTAACCATTGCTGTATAAAGAGCAAAATCATAACTACTCTCTCCGTTTCATTTTAATAGTCTGTTTTAGATTAATGCACATATACTAAAAAAACATTTCGTTTTATATATATTATAAAAACATATTACCTATACATTTTAACCGAAAAATAGACTGATATAAGAATCATATAGCTTATAAAGTTAATAAATTCGGCGTTGAATTCTAAAACGACACTTATTTTGAGATAAAAATTTTATTCTACAACGGAGAGGGAGTACAAGTTAGTGTAGCCCCATCATAGTAGCTTGAAAGAAGAAGAGTTCTTACATGGAGGCGATCACGAAACATTAGACCGATTAAGTAAGGAAGAACCATGCCAACGGTGGTTCCAACCATGATGATAACGAAACCGAGACCGTAACCGAAAATCATGCCGGCTAACCACATGGATGGACCAGAAGGGATCAAGAAGACAGGGAAGAAGGCTAAGGAAACAAGGAGGACAATGAAGAGCGTAGGACGGCCAAATGCAGTCGCTTCCCATTGCAAAATCGGAATAAGAATCTATAATCAATCAAACACACACTATTAAGTATTAACTTAAACTAAGTCCAAAATAAGAAGCAGAGGTAAAGGAATGAACCTTTTGGAATACAAAGGGAACACCCCATTTGGCGAAGATTAGAGTGAGGAAGAGAGTAAGGGCACATATACACAAAGCTTTAAACCACCATATCAAGTTTCTACTCCGCATCTCTTCTGATTGAGATATTAACACGGTTTCAGGTGGAGAAGCAGCTTCATGAGTCACGGCAACTAGCCGAACAGATTCATTATCTTCACTCAGGTGAGAAACAGAGTCTGAGGTATCATTGTCTATTGGCTCTTCCAGTGGATTTGACATCTGTGAGTTCAGCAAGAATTGATATATCCACAAACAGCAACCGTTGTCAAGAAAAAAACAAGTGGGGGACAAATAGAAGAAAGAACAAACTATAGGGACATGAAAATAAATAGAAAAAAAATGGAGAGATATCTGGAGAAATGAACAAGGCAAATAGAAGCAGAGACAGACAGACAAAAGAAGCTTAGCTTATAAGTATTGCAAAAGGCAACGATAACTAACAAGTAAAAGTTAAACTACCAGGATAATCAATCTTAACGACGAAATCTCTCAATATCGAAGAAAAATCTATTAAAATCAAACAGTCATAAAGTACACATCAAATCATTTAGATCTTTAAATCTAGAGTAAAAGAAAATCATCATAATTAAAAAAGAAAAGAATGGTCACAAAATACAGAAAGTAGAGCTGCTAGGGTTTAACAAATCAAACCTGTGAAAAGAAAGAATAAAGGAATCTTAGTTAAGCTTCCGTGGCCACGAAAACAGCGTTACGGCGGAGGAAGCTCGGACACCGCCGGAAAAGAGGGGTTGGTGTTAACGTCTGGGCTTAGGGTTCCTTTTTTTTTTTTGTCGTTTGCTTCAAACATATAAAGGCGTGTGTTTTTATGTTTCGGACATTCAAATCAAAATAAGAAATCCCTTCGCTTTTCCACTTTTATTAATTTTTATTTTTAATTTGTTAGCTTATTCTTTACTTCTCTGGAATAACGAGTCAGACTATACTATAAAATTTAATATTATCATATCCTAATTTTGTCCACCTGAGTTGACCTTTTATAGTTTTGGTTTGTTTCAGATAAGAATTTTCCTTAAACCAAATCCAAAACCAACCAATCCTGGGATTATTATGACCTAAATACGGAGAGCGTGAATGAGACGCGCGCATTAATACGGAGGAGTCCCGGGCGTTGAATATTGCTGGGCTTGAAGATTTGAAAACTGCATGTTTTCTACAGATTCTTAATGGGCTGTTTCTTACTCTGGCCCAAAAGTTGTTTACCCAATATTTGAAACACGGGTGCTACATGTTACCGATCAGAATACTTAATTTTTGATTTTTTTAATTATTACAGATAAAAAATATATAATAATAAATACCAACCAATCACAGAGAGACACATGTCACGGGGAGACACATGTCGCAGGAAGATACATGTCGCGGGAACGCGTAAATAGTAACACAAAGAGTATAAAAATTCACTAAAGACCAATCTTTATTTAAAGATTTTTAAATATTAATCATTAACTTTTTCTAAAATACGTTGATTATTTAATTATTTTTTCTTAAAGATTACCATTGTGGATACTCCTATGTGATATTATAAACACATGCAAAGGGGAAGAATATTTGAAAAATATCATTTTTTTCATAATATATACGTGCCGGCGGCGACTTTTAAACTATGAACAAGTGAGACACGTAATGTCTTTAAAGTCTTTGACCTCCCTCTCAATTGTCTCAAGCTTCCATGTGTAGACGATGATGGCGGAGACTCACAGCGTTGAATCTAAAGGCGAAGGTGGAGGAGATCTTAATGTTTTGGATTGGTCGCCTTTCGACACCATGCCGGAGGATTGCATCTCCAACATAGTCTCTTTCACAAGTCCACGTGATGCGTACGTCTTCGCCGTGGTGTCAAAAACCTTTGCATCTGCGGTTAAGTCAGATATTGTATGGGAGAAGTTTCGTCCCCCAGGGTATCCATCTATGATTCCTCCATCGCTAGCTTCATCATCCAAGATCAAGATCTATTTCTATTTATGCAACAACCATCTTGTTCTAATCGAAGATGGCAAAAAGGTATATCATGGCAACCATCTTGTTCCATCCCTACTATTTTTATTTTTTTTAAGTGAAAAAGTCCCCTCCCCCATTTTTAAAAAAAATATTGTGCTCCCCGTAAAAATCTTTCCAAATCATCGTGTTAATATTGGATCTTTTCTGATGATTTGGCCTTTTCATGAAAATCAAAAGTGCGTCTGGTTAGAGAAAACAAGTAGTAAGAGGTGTATCATGTTATCTGCGGAGAGCCTCTATATCAAATGGATCAATGATACTCATTGTTGGGATTGGATTACAATTCCTGGATCAAGGTACTGTATTTCTATGATGATTTGATTTTTTTTTTTACTTTTTGTAAAATATTTGTAAGTTTTTATTTATTTAAGAAATAGACTATTCCCCAATTCTATGTGACAGAAAAAAAAATTATTTGACAGAAAAATTTAAATTATTTGCCGCGTTGAACGAAAAAAAAATTCTATTTGATAGAAAAATTTAAATTATTTGCCACGTTGAATGAAAAAAAAAAATTATTTGGCCGCCAAATGACCTAACAGTCCAATCTGCTTTTTATTCTAAACGAAATGGAACTTAATCAGCCCATGCTTTAGTCTATTCCGTCCATTGACATCCTTATAACCTTTTCCTTAATTATGTGATATGCAGATTTGAAAGAGTTGCGAAGGTTAATGATGTATGTTGGTTTGAGATTCGAGGCACGATCAATACTCATGAATTATCTCCAAGAAATCATTACTCATCTTACATTGTGTTTAAAGAGGGTTTTACGGATCTGCCTATCGAAGCTAGAGTTGGAGTGGTTGGAAAACAAGCTTCTACGAGATTATTTTGCTTTGATGTGGCCACGGATGGGCAGTTCTTAAAGAGGGGGAGGCGGACATGGTACTTTGAGAAACCAAAGGAGAGGGAAGATGGTTGGAGGGAGATAGAGCTCGGGAGATTCTTCAATAAAGGAGGATTGATGAATAGTGATGAATTTGAGATGAGTGTTATTGCGACCGAGTTGCGCCATTGGAAGAGTGGTTTCATCCTTCAAGGAATTGAAATCCGTCCTGCGACACTTCCAAGGCTGAGAACCGTCGGTTGAATACTGGATCATGTTTGGTATTATTGACAATTATTAAGCGATTTAGTGAAGAGCTAAAGAGTGAGTTAAGTTGTACTTTATTACTCCCTCCGTTTTTTTTTTATAAGATGTTTTAAAAGGTTTATGTTAGTTTCAAAATATAAATGTTTTAAGATTTAAGATATGTTTTGAAGTTTTAAGATTAACTTTAATTTGGTTATAATCTGTTTCAACCAATAAAAATTTTCAATCTTTTTTATAATTGGTCGAATGATTTTAAAAGTATATCATTAAAAGTATTTTTTTAAAAAAGGTAAATATTTTAATCTCTGTTTACTGAACCAAAACATTTTACAAAAATATACACAGGGAATATAACTTATAGTGATTGGTTGGGTAAGAGTTATAAGTGGCGAGAATATAGCTGAATGTTAAGCTCCAACTTTGCTTATTATAGTGGAGGATGATGTGTGTAAACCAGTTTCGAGCTGTGAAAAGTTTGATGTTTCGAGTTATGTTTTGGTTTGAGTTTAAATGTCTAACCAAGTTAAAAACTGTGACGTAATTTATGGATTGTGCAAAGTGTCTGAACTTGTGATTTTTGTTTTTATTATTGAATTTGTGTTAGTTGATATATGTTCACGGGGTTTCTACATGTAGTATATAATCTGAACAATAATGAGAATATATTTTTGTTTGGTAGTTAGCATATCCAATGTCAATCTCTGATTTGTGAAACAAGATGTAACTAGACCATGACCCGTCCGAGCGGGTGTTTTGTTTTCTTTTAATTTTAGGTTTATACTAAATAATGTAAAATAAAAAATGAAGTATCAATTAAATGGTTACAAATTATTTATGGGTTTAATTTTGACAGAAAAATATCGGAAAGTTCGCTGTTTGATCCGCGCAAGTGTTTGTTTTTATATATTTTATAAGTGATAATATATATTTCTAAATTTACCGTTTAAATAATTGTTTAAAATTACATTTTAAACACACAATTTTATCGTTTATATTAAGTAATTTTATTTTATCTTATAAACTATCATTGTGTCATACTTATTTTAAAAGTATGACCCGTATATTTGCACAAATGTTTTTATTTTATTTTTATGGATCAAAATTTTATGATAATGTATAACTAAATTTTTTTATTTACTATTTAAAATATACGGTCCTATATATTTCTACTTTTTAACTTTTATTATTCTGAATTTACCTTGAACTATTATTTATATAAAAATATACATAACATGATATGTTTATATTAATCTTTTTATCATATATTATATAAATGTTTCTTCTTGTGACTTTTATTTTAGTTATTACTTATAAATAATAAAAATATAATTATATATCTTTGAAAAAAATATTGTTCATTAACTATTTAAAGATGTGTAGATAATTAATAAGAAAAAAATCCTAAAAGGTAGGTTAATTAATATTGGAATTAATTATTATGTATATGAAATTAGTAAAAAAAATTCTATATAATTTATTTATTTAATTACGAAAGGTATATATGAAAATAATTATTTTTCATTAATTATTGTTGTCATAATTTTTTTTAGTTGAAATTAGATTTTGGAAATACATTAATTAAAGTGAAAAGACAAAGAATCCTATAAGGTAGGGTAATTAATAACTTCAGTGGCATAACATTGTAAATAATTAGAAAAACTCAAGGATATTTTATATGGGTACTTCTCTTTTAATAATATACTAGGTGACCGGCCCGCACCCTGTGCGGGTATAAAAATATAGTATAATGCTGAGACAGGAGTATCTATTGAGTTCAAATGTGGGAGTTAGTGGAACAATTGAGAGTTTCAATGCTGAGACAAGATTTGCGCAAATCTCTAAGATATAGTAGGGGTGGGCAAATCGTTACTTTTTCGGTTTGGTTTGTTTAGTTCGGTTTTAATATATTTTTTCAACTGAAATAAACCTTATTTAGTCTGGTTTGGTGTTGTTTATGCCCAGTTCAATTTATATTCAGTTCGGGTTTGTTTTTGGATCAGTTTAATTAGGCCCCTTTTCGCTTAATTTTTTAAAAGAAAAATTATGTTTTAAAACATATACACATAAAGTATGTGAACTAAATTCAATATTAAACTGAAACAAAAAATAAAAAAGTCACAAAAAGTATATAAGAATAAAAAAATAAAAGTTAACTAAAGTAAAAAAAATTAACATCATTAGTATGTTTTTAATAAAAGTTAATTATTAAAAAAAACAAATGTGAGAAAAATATACAGGAGACAGTGACATTAAAAATGTGATAAAAATCTCATAAATATCACAATCCCATAGAAAATGTGATAAAAATCTCAATTTTAAAACATATACACATAAAGTATGTGAACTAAATTCAATATTAAACTGAAACAAAAAATAAAAAAGTCACAAAAAGTATATAAGAATAAAAAATAAAAGTTAACTAAAGTAAAAAAAAATTAACATCATTAGTATGTTTTTAATAAAAGTTAATTATTAAAAAAACAAATGTAAGAAAAATATACACGAGACAGTGACATTAAAAATGTGATAAAAATCTCATAGATATCACAATCCCATAGAAAATGTGATAAAAATTTAAATATAATTCATAAGTAATATAAAATAAGAAGAAAAATTATGAATTAAAATAATCTCATAGAAACACGAACATAATTGACAGTATATATAATTTGACAAATTCTGTAAGAGAACTCAATCAATCAAGTATGTTTCAAAGCGCTCCAAAGCTCAAGACTTGATAAGTTTCTGCAAAGTAAATTAAATAAATTTGATGTTAGCAGTAAGACTTGATTTTACATTAAGGTATTATTTAAACAAATCAATAATTATGATACCAAGTTGCGCAAGTAATCCGCAATGAAAATAAGGTAAGTTATTAATAAAAAAATTAACAAATTACAAACATGGTAAATTACACTTAAAATCGTGAAGCAAATACTATTGGGACTGAAATTATGCAACCAGTGTAATTTATTATTAAAAAAGTAACTAACTGAAAAATGAAAATATTTAAAAGGTGGGTTATATGTGCTAATAATGGTGATCTTACAACATTAAGATACCTATTATATTTTCATAAATTGGTCTGCAGTAAAGATAATATCAACTTGCCCAAGCAATCCGTAATCAAAAGGTAAGTTATTAATACCGAATTAACTAAAGGTAAATTATTTAAACAAAACAATAAATATGATACCAAGTTGCACAAGTAATCCACAATGAAAATAAGGTAAGTTATCAATAAAAAAATTAACAAATTATAAACATGGTAAATTACATTTAAAATCGTGAAGTAAATACTCTTGGGATTCAAATTATGTAACCAGTGTAATTTATTATAAAAAAAAATTAACTAACTGAAAATATTTAAAAGATGGGCTATATGGGATAATAATAGTGATCTTACAACATTAAGATACCTATTATATTGTCATAAATTACTCTACAGTAAATATGATATCAACTTGCCCAAGTAATCCGTATTCAATATAAGGTAAGTTATTAAAACCGAATTAACTAACGGTAAACAAAGCAATAAATATGATACCAAGTTGCGCAAGTAATCCGCAATGAAAATAAGGTAAATTATTAATAAAAATTAACAAATTACAAACATGGTAAACTACATTTAAAATCGTGAAGTATACTCTTCAGATTAAAATTATGCAACCAGTGTAATTTATTATAAAAAAATAATGAATTGAAAATATGGCTATATGGGCTAATAACAGTGATCTTACAACATTAAGATACCTATTATATATGGGCTTATAAGATATTTGTTAATGTTTATGACGTAAATCACTACCAAGGCAAACAAAATGTTATTAACGCCAGATCTTTTTGTGGTCCAAAAGACTTACGGGATCACTACAGCATCAATAAGTTAAGAACAAATGAGCAGTACTGGATTTCCAGGACGAGTGAACAACTTGTATCCCGCGAGTTTGCAGTCACCTCATCTGTCCACTGTTGCCGAGAATTGTGTTATATGAGAAACAATGAGTTCATTACAAAAAACAGAGTCTAAAGACAACATTACGTCAAACTAAGGTATTTGCACTTTGTTTGATACTTGAAGCTAAAATGAAAAAACTTACAAACGAAATATTACCTCAGG